TACACGCGGATCAAAATGGATTCCTACCAAAAAGACAAATGAGAGATAATATAAGAATAATTTTGGACACTTTAGAGTATTATGAAGCACATCCTGAAAAACAGATGGCTTTGGTATTTTTAGACACACAAAAAGCTTTTGATATTAACCAATGTTAATTGGTTTGATAACAACCAATGTTAATTGGTGATTTATGACACTCCAAATGGAAAAGATGGGCTTTGGTAGCAGGCAATTATAAAGGCAATTGAAGCTATTTATTTTAAAAAAACGGCAAAAGTAATGATAAATGGAGAATTGACTGATCCTATTGAAATAGAAAAAGGCACTTTTTCTATTTCAAGGATGCCCGCTGTCCCCATTGTTGTTTATAATGACTTTAGAAGTTTTAAATAGATGCATCAGAGAAGAAAAAGAGATAAAAGGCATGAAAATCCGAAAAGAGGAATATAAACTTCAAGCCTTTGCAGATGATTTGGTTTTTATCATTGAAGAACCATTAACAACAATAAATAAGTTCATAGAAACTGTTGGAGAATTTGGGAAAGTAGCTGGCTTAAAAATGAATAAAGATAAAATGAAGATAATGACTAGAAATATGTTGAAAAAGCAAAAAGAAGAACTGATGGAGGTTTCAAAAATGCAGGTTACAAACAACGTAAAATATTTGGGGATATATTTAACACCAAGGTGTAGTGCACTTAAAGAAAATAACTATAATAATCTTAAACAACAGATAGGGCAAGACTTGGTGAAATGGGGTAATTTGCAGTTATCTTTGGTAGGATCTCAACTATCAAGATGAATATTCTACCTAGAATTATGTACCTATTACAGACAATTCCTATTAAGTTGGATAAGGAATTTTTCGTAGATTTAAATAAAATGATACTGAAATATATTTGGCAAGCAAAAAGGCGAGAATAAAACTAAAACTGTTACAAGATGCCAAAGCTAGGGGTGGTTTTGGTTTGCCTAATTTTGAATTGTATTATCAAGCAGCAAGTTTAATGTGGATTAAAGAATGGATAACTTTGAGAAATACCAGATTACTGAATTTGGAGGGACATGATTTGTTGCTGGGGTGGCATGCCTTTTTATGGTACAAAAGCACAAAAATACAAGGATATTTTAGAAGACATCAGATACATGAAGCTATATGGTTGAACTGGGAGAAGGTCAAAAAACATCATTATTTGAAGATTCTAATTTAGATATCTACAATTGAAGCTTTTTCATATTCAGTAATATTTAAAAGGGAACAAATCATTAGGTATAGTGAATTGTTGGATGAAAAGGGTGAACTTAAATTAAAGCAGGAATTAGAAGATCAGGGATATAAGATGGACTGGTTTTCATAAATGCAAATATTTTCTAGATATCGAGAAGATCTCAAACAAAAGGTTTGTATAATGTCTTGACTAATTTAGACAAGATCTTAATGGGCTCTGATGATTATATAATTAAAAAGTTGTATGGATATTTGTTAGAAGTAAAACTGGAAGAAGAACAAGTTAAAGAATCAATGATAGCATGGGGGAAAATTTTGGTTATGGTATTGATTTAGAGAAATGGCAAAAATTGTCACATAATTATAAAATGACAATATCTACAGCATATAAGGAGAATTTGTATAAGATGTTTTACAGGTGGCATTTACCCCTGACGAGAATAGCCAGAATGTTCCAGAATAAATCGGAGAAATGTTGGAAGTGTCATCAGACTTCAGGATCCTATTACCACATGTGGTGGACATGCGAAGATGCAAAGAGATATTGGACCAAGATACACACGTGGTTGGAAAAAATGATTAAGAGACATATTTATTTTAAACCAGAGATATTTTTATTAGGGATCTTACCAGAGACATACAATAAAGAATTGCAATATTTAATTGTGAACCTTTTAACAGCAGTTAGAATTGTATTTGCAAAAAATTGGAAAGGAGAAAGGATACTTTATTTATTTATTTATTGAATTTATATCCCGCCCTTCTCTCCGAAGGGACTCAGAGCGGTGAACAGCCGAAAATTAAAAACTTACTGATGAAATTATTAAGAAAATGATGGACTGTGCTGAAATGAGTAAATTGACATTTGAAATAAGAGAGCAGGAAGATAAACAATATTATTTGATATGGGATTTATTTTATCAATGGATGGACAATTTTATTTTTATTTTATTTTATATTGGATTTCTATACCGCCCTTCTCCCTGAGGACTCAGGGCGGTGTACAGCCAGATTAAAAAACATGCAGAACAAATATTAAAAACAATTAAAAGATATATAAATGTGGCCCAATTAAAACTCATTTACCAATTAAAAACGTTTAAAACATTTAAAAACAGTTAAAAATTTCATCTTAAGCCAGCCCGGCTTGTTTAAATAAATGGGTTTTAAGGGCGCGACGGAAGGCACTAAGGTCTTGGATTCTCCTTATCTCTGGGGGGAGCTGATTCCAGAGGGTAGGTGCCCCCACAGAGAAGGCTCTCCCCCTGGGGGTCACCAGCCTACATTGTCTGGCTGATGGCACCCCGAGGAGGCCCTCTCTGTGGGAGCGCACGGGTCGGTGGGAGGTCGTTGGTAGCAGCAGGCGGTCTCGAAGATAGCTAGGCCCTATGCCATGGAGCGCTTTAAAGGTGATAACCAACACCTTGAAGCGCACCCGGAAGACAACTGGGAGCCAGTGCAGCTCGCACAGGAGCGGTGTTACATGGGAGCGCCATGCTGCTCCCGTCACTACCCGCGCTGCTGCGTTCTGGACCAGCTGGAGCCTCCGGGTGCTCCTCAAGGGGAGCCCCATGTAGAGAGCGTTGCAATAGTCAAGGCGAGAGGTGACGAGGGCGTGAGTGACTGTGCACAGGGAATCCCGATCAAGAAAGGGCCGCAACTGGCGAATCAGGCGAACCTGACAAAAGGTCCCCCTGGTTACAGCCGTCAGATGTTCCTCCAAGGACAGCTGCATATCCAGGAGGACTCCCAGATTGCGAGCCCTCTCTGTGGGGGCCAATGACTCGCCCCCAATAGTCAGTGATGGAGTCAACTGACTATATCGGGATGCCGGGAGCCACAGCCACTCAGTCTTGGAAGGGTTGAGCTTGAGCCTGTTCCTCCCCATCCAGATCCGTACAGCCTCCAGGCACTGGGACATCACTTCAAGGGCATCGTTGGGGTGGCCTGGGGTGGAGATGTACAGCTGGGTGTCATCAGCGTACTGGTGGTATCTCACCCCAAAGCCACGGATGATCTCACCCAGCGGCTTCACATAAATGTTGAACAGGAGAGGCGAGAGGACGATCCCTGCAGCACTCCACAAATGAGAGGCCTCGAGGTCGACCTCTGCCCCCCTGCCAACACAAACTGCGACCGGTCGGAGAGAAAGGAGGAGAACCACCGCAACACGGTGCCTCCCACCCCCAACTCTTCCAGCCGGTGCAGCATGATACCATGGTCGATGGTATCAAAAGCCGCTGAGAGGTCTAACAGGACCAGAACAGAGGAACAACCCCTGTCCCGAGCCCTCCAGAGATCATCAACCAACGCGACCAATGCCGTTTCTGTGCTGTGCCCAGACCTGAAACCCGACTGGAACGGATCTAGATAAGATGTTTCCTCCAGGAATTGCGGAAACTGTCGTGCGACCACACTCTCAACAACCTTCGCCATAAAGCGAAGGTTGGAGACAGGACGGTAGTTGGCCAATATTGCCGGATCCAGGGACGGCTTCTTGAGGAGAGGCCTCACCACCGCCTCTTTCAAGGCGGTGGGGAAGTAACCCTCACTCAACGAAGCGTTGATAACACCCTGGAGCCAGCCTCGTGTAACCTCCCGGGAAGCCAGTACCAACCAGGAGGGACACGGGTCCAGTAAACATGTGGCCGCACTAAGTCTCCCCAAAATCCTGTCCACATCATCAGGAGTCACAGCATCAAACTCCTCCCAGATAACATTCTCAAGACTATTCCTCGTCACCCTGTCCTGATCTACCCAGTCAGAGTCCAAATCCCCCCGGATCTGGGCGATTTTGTCATACAGGTATTGTCCGAAATCCTCCGCCCTGCCTTCTAAGGGATCCTCCCGCACTCCCGGATGGAGCAGGGCGCGGGTCACCCTAAACAGGGCGGCCGGACGATTCCCTGATGACGCAATAGAGGCGGAAAAGTAGTTAGACTTTGCCGTCTCTATCGCCACTAGGTAGGCCTTAATATGCGACCTTACCAGTGTTCGATCAGATTCAGCGAGACTGGCCCTCCAACCGCTCTCCAGGCGTCTTTTCCGGCGCTTCATTTCCCTCAGCTCCTCAGTAAACCAAGGAGCCGCACGGGATCGGCATCGGGTCAGAGGCCGCAAAGGCACAACTCGGTCCAAGGCCCCACCAGCCGCCCGATCCCAGGCGGCTACCAGGTCCTCGGCCGAGTCATGTGCTAGATCCTCAGGAAATGGCCCAAGCTCCGTCTGGAACCTATCAGGATCCATCAGGCGCCTGGGGCGGATCCATCTAATTGGATCCGCCTCCCTGTGACGAGGGGTCGCGGTTCGAAGATCTAGGCAAAGGAGTGAGTGGTCAGACCATGACAAGGGTTCCATGTCTATATCCCCTATAACAAGACCACTCAACCACTGGCCAGAGACAAAAATCAGATCCAGAGTGTGACCTCCCCTGTGAGTAGGGCCATGAACTAACTGGGTCAGGTCCATGGCCGTCATGGAAGCCATGAACTCCCGAGCCACCTCAGACGTTTCACCGACGGATGGCAAGTTGAAATCACCCATGACTAAAAGCCTGGGTGTATCTACTGCCACCGTGGCTATCACGTCGAGTAGCTCAGGTAGGGCTGTTGCCACGCGGCAGGGAGCCAGGTACGTAAGCAACAAGCCCATCTGAACCCCACGGCCCCACCTCACAAGGAGGGACTCACATCCGGCTATCTGAGGCACAGTGGTCTCCCTCGGACCCAGATCCTCGTTAATAATAACCGCCACCCCCCCGCCCCTCCCCTGAGCCCTCGGCTGATGGAATGCTCTGAAGCCTGGTGGGCACATTTCAACCAGAGGGACGCCACCCTCCGGGCCCTCCAATAAAAAATGGAGATAAATATGTGGATGCTGAGACAAATTAAGTGGATTTTCTTTTTTTATATATATTTGAAAATAACCCTGGGAATGTATAGTGATATTTTGAAGAGAGGAGGGAGCACAAAAGGATGCAAACCGATCAATATACTGTCTGTAACTTTTTGGAATGATGATGTTTTTATGTTTTATTTTTGTTTTAAAATAAAAAAATGTTTTTTAAAAAAGGAAGTTTTTTCAGGTGTCTCCATTGTCTTAATAAACTTTACAAGATTGCTTTTGCAGAGAGTACACTAGTTGAAATTGTGTCTAATTTAAAAAGAGATGGTTGCAAATTGCTTTGTATTGTTTTGTAACCCACAGGTTATCCTCAGGGACATGCTAAAAAACTTTAGAAACAGTTTTTATACAATGTAAATGAAATATCTATTTTTTAAATTTATTTTTAACTTCTTGATATATAAATTTAGAAGCATGTCATTTGTCTGCAAGGCACAGCATTAAACCATAGTACACTGGTAAAAGCTGAAGAGTTTGGAACTCCTGAATAGTCTTCACTGAATAGTCTTCACTTGAATAGAATTATGTACCAGTGGCACAACCATATAACAAGTAGCAGATTGATTAAAATGTCTACCTACTGATAGATTTATGCACATACAATATTTGAAAAGAATCAATGGATAATGAATTTATATACATAGTGAAGTAACAATTTAAGTACATTCATGTACATTTCTTACAAGAACTACAGCTGATACATTAACAAGTAAAATAAGATAGCACATGTTCTTAAAAAAATACAACAGAAAAGTATAAATTAATAAAATTATTAATTAAATCATCTCTCTTTTTTAAAAAATATTTGAAATAAACAATAGGTATTCATGGTTTGGGAGTCCTCCTGCCAGTTCGGGCTCTTAGAATCGAGGCTTCAACAACAGACTAGCCTTGTTATTTCTAAGTCAAATTACTACAGTACAGTCTACAGGTAGCCCTTGATTTACTATCACAATGGGAGGTAGAATCTCAGTCATTGAGTAAAGTGGTCATTAAGCAGACAGCCATATGGTCACTCATTCAGTGACGACAATTCCAGCTCTCCCAGTTGAGTTGCCAAGCGATTGTGCAAGTCATTAAGCAGAGCATCAGGGAGAGGTGCTCTCTGTGGCCCAGCACATCCAGGTGGCCCAGGCTCTCTCCCCACCCCCACCAAGCTCAGGTCCATTACCTTTGCCTGTAGCTGCAAGTGTGCCCAGCTGATGTGTGATTGGCCTTCCTACCAAAGCCATTTTGTGCCATCTGGCAGTGGGCAACATTCTTGCAAATGGAAGGCTCACACAACTTGGATTCACTAGTCTTTCTAGCCCAGGAAAGGTAGAAAGCTAGTGAACATCATTGTTCTGAAGGCTATAAATCTGCCAAGTGGAGGTCAGCCCCTCCATTGAGCTGCAGAAACAGGGATTGGATCTTTGGCATCTAAACCCTGTCTCTGCAGACTAGCAGAGCCTTAGCTTTCCTGTCTGTGTGGAAGAGAATGTCTCTGCCAGGCTGCAGAAACAGGGCTCATGTCTTCAGGAACCGAGCCCTGTTTCTGAAGCCCAGTAAAGGGCTTGAGCTCCATTTAGTTGGCAGGTCTTTCAGCTAGGCCCCCTGAGATGAGAGGGAGTCCTATCGGCAGGCAGCAGCAGCTTTCTGTGGAAGCCCATGGAGAAGCTGGAAAATAGCAATCACATGATCATGAGGTGCTTGGCAACCAATCATAAGTGCAAACAGGTTGCCAAGTGTCTTAAAAGTTAGTCATGCAAGAGAAAAAGTGTGAATGAACCTAGAAACAAAACTTTTTAATAGCTGCCTATCCATGCGGAATGTACTGTCCTGTAAAATCTGTATGACCTCAACACATTTTGCACAAAGCAACCTTCCTAAAAACCCTCTCCTTTGTTTTCAAATAAGTTGAGGTATTGCAAAGGCCAGTCCTTACTAGGTGTCCCTGGAAATTGCTCTGTAACAGTATAATCAGGGCTTCAGTTAAAATAGCCAAGTCTGATATACTTTATCATATATTATAGTAAAGAGTAAATCTTTCACCTATTAAATTCTGTAACAAATGTACCAAATTGGAAATAACTTGATCATACCTGCATGTTACATCAATGAGCTTCCGAATGTATTTCTTTCTTTTTAAAGAAAAAAAAATGAAAATTCTGAAAAGGGAACTGTCTTTAGAATTTCAATCCTGTGGATTTGTGTTCAGGCTGAGCTTTTTAAAAACCATATACAGTGTATGACATATCATACAGGAGGAGTTCCTTGCTTAGCAAGCACTTGTTCAGTGACAATTCAAATTTACAACAATGCTGAACAAGTGATATTTATGACTGGTCCTCAAAGTTCCAGCTGTCACAGCATCCTCATATTCACATGATTGCCATTTGTAACCTTCTTTCTACAAACAAGGTCAATAGGGAAGCCAGCATGAGGTCACAAATAAGAAGTACATGATGTCCTTGCTTAACAACCCATGATGATTTGCTTAATGATGGCAATTGGAAGTGCCAGAATTTCCATTGCTAAGCAACTTTGTTCAGGGATGTCGCACATTAGCACTGTATCACTTAGAAATGAAATTCTGGTCCCAATTGCCATCCCAAGGATTACCTGAATATATCTTGAAACTCAGTGCAAATAGGGCCTGGCAGCTGTTCCATCTTGTTAGGTTGTAGATACAGTCCTCTCCATCTCATGCTGTGCTATTACATTTTTTCACAAACCAACAGGGCAAGCTGCCTTTTTGGATAGAGTCTGTCTACAATGGGAACAAGAATGTCTTCTAGTAATGATGTGATCCCTGTCTGTTGAGATTGGTGCACAAATTTTATTGAAGTTCAGAAATAAGAACCAAGTTTCTTTATATTCATGGTCTGCTAAGTATTTCTTGGCATATTCTCATAGAAATAATACAGATTCAAGACTCATATAGATGACTCATATAGAGACTCTTTGATTTAAGTTATACGATCTGAAGAGAAAATTTCTCAGTATTGTATTACTGGAACAGCAACCAGACACATCAATTAAAGAATTCTGAATATGAAATTATCATAAAATCATTAAGAAATTAGACAAATTTCAAATGAATTGCACTATTCAATACAAGGCACTGTAGTTTCACTATATTGTGAAAGTATAGTTATCTACAACAGAGTAAATTTGTTTTCAGAACAGCATCACTGGCTACTTTATTTGTGGATAAACAGACAAAAAATATCTGCTGGTAGCTACTCCATTCTGAAGTTTAGGAATATGTGAGAAATTATTGAGACACCTTTAGTCTGGTATAATTAGAATCTAAGAATTCTAATAAATTCAACATATTTTTTCATGTTCTAGCAGTTTGTTCTAAATGAATTTTTGTTCATTCACTCTTGATTCAATTTTTAGAGTAAATTCTACCAAAACTATTCATTTGAGATTCACAAGGGGTGAACTGATATGCTGATTAGAGTTACAGCATAACCATTCAAAAGTCATTCTCATGTTTCAGTTTTTAATATCCAAAAGATTTAGTGTAACTTATCACGACCTCTTGGAGGCACAGGTGGTGGATGGAAGTTGTCAGTGTTCAATAATCTGTAAATAAATATTTGAAAAGAATAATTTATTATGTTACGTAACTTATTACATTTACACATTTATTTTAAAAAGCAATTAAATACTTTGAAATGTAGGTTTTTTTAAAGATGATATACAATAGCATTTACAATAGAAAAGTATTATTGTTCTTTCATGTGGAATTAGTCATTGACATCCCATTATAATACTAGCAATTTCTAACTATTAAATTAATCAAGTAATTTGCAAGCTGCACTGCTTCCTGGCTTGCTTCTGAGTGCAATTCATGCTATCTACATGACCTTGGTCACCTGCCACCATCTGTCTGGTCAATTCAGTCCTGCAGGGCTGGATCACTCTAGGTTCCTTTGATTAAACAATCTCACCTATCAGGACCTATCAGGACCCCTGAAGCATGCCTTCTCTATAGCAGTATATGCCCGAGAATGAGGTCTCGTCCAAGAATGAAGCTCCCCTCCCCAAATTGTTGTTTAAAAGAGCCACAAAGACCTCTCTGTTTACCCAAGTCTATAGGTTTAGGGACATGTAGTGAAGTTCTGGTTTCCCTGAACACCTCTGCTGCCATGTTTCCCATCTGTTTTACTTTGTTTATATCCCTTTATATTATCTATTTTAGAATTAATCCATGTGGAATAGGGATCTGTCAAATTCATTCTTTGTACAGTATAAATGTATTATAAAACAATATATAACCTGCTAGCAATTCGAGGAGGTATTCTTGGAGGCCTTCCAAGTGAAATGGAAAGTTGGTTGTCTACCTGCAAGTTTCTAGAGCAGAAATTTCTCTTCATGTCAGGTATCTCATTATCCTATGTAAGAATGACAGTGATGTTCATTCAGTTTTAAATATACTTTTTGAAAGTAATGCATCATTTTCTTCTTATTTCACAGAAGATTTTATATACCCAAAATCCTTACCAACATTAATTATTTTCTCCCTTCCTATCTTTCCTTGTGGTTACCCTAATCCCACAGACTACTTTAGTTGCTCTGTACACGGCGATGGCTAAAGGAACTGGAAAGGTTAGTGAAGGGGTGTGGCTGCCCTGGATGGTGGGGGTGGGGGAGGTGAGGGTTTGGACTGGCTGAAGGGCCCTCAGATAAGCCGGGGTGGGGTGGGTGGGGTGGGTGGGGCAGCTCTCCATCCCCTACCTTGCTTCGTCTTCCACCCCCCTCCCCGCCTAGCTTCATTCTTCTTTCTTTACCACTTCTTTTCCTTGCTCACCACCATAACCTAGCAGGAGGCTGAGCAATGCACTGGTGCGGCGGCCACAAAGTGAGATGGTGGTGGATAGAATACGAAGCAAGGCAGGGGGAGCAGAGCTGCCCCCCCTTGCACTGGTTTACTGGAATGTCCCGCCAGCCAGGCACTGATGTGCTGCAACTGCCACTGCACTGAACTTCAGCTTCCCAGTGAAACTGGAGTTCGCCATGCCGGGGGAGAAATGAGAGGCCCTGCTATACCACAGAGCCCGCCGCTGCTTGAGTGGGGAGGACGAGGAGAAAAATGGCTGCTCAGGTGGTACCTGCTGCCCCTGCCGCTGCCAGCAGCTTGAGTGCCCCGGTTGAAGGACGGATCATGCTCTCTCTCTCATACACAAAGAGGTTGGAGAGCCCCCCTACTTTCTCTCTCTCTCTCTCTTTCTTGTTGCAGCGGCAGTTGCAGTGCTTCAGTGCCTGGCTGGCAAGGCACTCAGGTAAGATGGTGTGGGGCAGCTCTGCACCCCACACCTTGCTTCATACTCCACCCCCCACTGCCTCACTCTCAGGCAGCTTCTGCCTCCTGCACCACTGCCAGATGCTTGGATGCCCCCGCTGAAGTACGGATTGCTCTCTCTCCCATACACACACACACACACACACACACACACACACACACACACACACACACAGAGGTTGCATTGGATTGTGTTCTCTCTCTCTCTCTCTTTGCAAGTGTAGGACACTGTAGGACAATGAGGTCTCATTAAGTAGTTAAGTGGAAAGTAGTTGGCGGGGAGGAGCAGGAGACCGGCAAACACTTTTTGCTCTGAGAATGAAAGTTTCTGGGTTGCTGACTCTCTGCAAAAGAGGTTGGGTGCCTGAACCTGCACAATATTATAGCACCGAGAAGCATCCATTCTTGGCACAAAAAGCATTTCCAAGACAACTCTCCTCTCCCTTCCTCAAAGGCAAAAAAAATAGAAAAACAAAGAGACAGATGTTTGCAAGGTAAGGAGGGAGTTGTGGCAGGAAGGGAGGGAGAAGTATGAGGTATCTTAATGGGTCAGGGAGGCCTTGAGGGCCTGTTCTATCACTAGCGCCCCCCCCATGGCCTTTCCCGTCCTGAGATACGTCATGTGCACTTAACGAATGACACATTGGTATTCTTGAATTGTGAGCTCTTGGGAAAATTCACTCCTGCTCTCACTTCTGCTTCTGCTCCTGCTCCTGCTCCTGATATTGAAGGAACTGTGTCTGTGATTGAAGAGAACTGGAATTGTAAGCAAACTATGTTTTGTGTTAAACCGTGATTGTTTGAAGAAGTTGTTTTGAGAAGTCAAGTTTGTTTTTTACTACAAGTAAAGACTGTTTATTTTTCTTTAAACGTCCAGAGTCTGTGACTATCTGTGTGTTTTGCTAAGCATCGTATCTATTCGCTGTCTGGTCTGTTGCACTACTTTGCAGAGGGCAGTTTTACCCTCAACACTGGTTATGGGCCCAGTGCCAGAGTGTGTGTACCAGTTACAGCAATAAGAGAATTGCGACACACATTATTGCTCCAGACGTTCTGATACGTATTTAAATATCCTGGTGAGGATGGCAAAAGGTCAAGCTCCCAACTTATCGCTGGTTACCCGGCTGGATGGCACCAACTACAAATCCTGGTCCACCAAGTGCAGTCTCCTGTTGCGCAAAGAAGGGCTATGGGATGTAGTGCAGAATCCACCAGATGTGACCTCCTGGAATGCTGACGATGCCGAGGATGCCAGGAAGATAGCCGAGTTCCAGAGGAGGAATGAGAGTGCATTGTGTATTATTGGTTTGTCTCTAGACGATACCCAGCTTGTTCATATCGAGGGTGAACAGTCTGCTGCAAAATGCTGGGGAAATTTGAAACATCTTTATGTTCATGACACTGTAGGGGCGCAAATTAACATTACACGAAAGTTGTTTCGCACAAAACTCCTTAAGGGTGGTGACATGTTAACACACCTGAAGTGCATAAAAAGCATTTTTTGAGAGCTACAACAGAAGGAGGTGGTTTTTTCCAAGCAACAACAGGTTTATATACTGTTATCATCGCTAGATGAGAGCTACAACAATGTAGTAACATCATTTGAAGTTCTCACACAGCAGGAACTAACTTTGGCCAATGTAACCTCACGACTACTAGAAGAGGCCAGAAGGAGAGAAGAAAGAAAACAACTAAGGGAAGAACCTGAGTTGATTAATGAAAATGTAAAGGCAAATAACCATGTATATGCTGTAAAACATTGTTTTAATTGTGGCAAGAAGGGTCATATAGCCAAGTTTTGCAGAAGGCTGAAACAAACAACCATGCTTAATGATAAAAAACAATGTAATGTAGCTATGTCTGATAAGAAACCAGTTAACCACGATTCGTGGGTTATTGATAGTGGGGCGTCGCTATGTTTTGTCAGAACACAAAAATATTTTGTGAAAATGTTGCCTAGTAATAATAAGGTTTCTTTAGCAAATGGGTGGAAGCTAAAAGCATGTGGTGAGGGAACGGCAATATGTCCATATGTAAAAGAAAAAATGCATATGTTATATGTTCCAAATCTAAACTTTAATTTGATTTTGGTTAGAGTATTGGTTAAGCTAGGATATACAGTAACATTTAGAACCAATGATTGCTTAATTGAAAAAGGTGAAACCAAGATTATTGGAAAACTGAAAGATGGTTTATATGTATTATCTAGTAACCATGTTACAAATGTTGTATACTCAAATGTTAAACCACATAATGAATGTGTTCACTTGCTTCACAGACGTATGGGGCATATCAGTTTTAAGATGTTACAGAAAACTGTAAAATTAGTTGATGGGTTGAAGCTGAAACCATGTAACCAGTATTTAAATTGCAATATTTGTAATCAGCAGAAAAGTAGAACAATAGGTTTGACGGGTTTAAAACAAAGAGACCACTGGAAGTGGTATTTGCTGATTTAATAGGGCCAATGAAGGCTAGTTTAGGGGGTGCTTGCTATGTTCGCAGTATAGTTGACCATTATTCAAGGTATGGTTTTTGCTACCTATTGAAGTCTAAGATAGATACTTTTTGGTATTTTGTTCAATGGATTAAGTTTGTGGAGAGAAAAACAAATCAAAAAATAGTTACCATTGTAACTGACAATGGTACCGAGTTTGTCAACACAAGGTTTAAATCAATGTTAGCTAATGCTGGTATAAAACACAAATGTTCAGCTCCATATCGGCCACAGCATAACTCGTATGTTGAAAGGAGAGGACAAACTCTACAAGCAATTATGAGATCAATGTTAGCTGATGCAGGTTTACCGGCTAATTTATGGGGAGAAGCCATTATGTGTGCAAATACACTCTTAAACAACACCATAAAAATAACCACTAACAAAATTCCATATACCGTATGGCATGGAAGGAAGCCAGATTTGAGCTACATACATATATTTGGATCACCTGCATGGGTACATACTCCAGCGCAGTTAAGGCGTAAGGGCCAGAGTAGGGCACAACAATTAATATTTGTTGGTTATAATTCAAACCACAGGTCCTACAGATTTTGGGTAAAAGGAACAGCAACAGTAGTTAACAGTGCAAATGCCAGGTTTATGGAGCATGTAGGGTGGAATAAATTAGGTACTGAAAATGAGGTTATCATTGAAACCCAGACTGAAGCTACCAATGAAATGCCAGAGATCCAGAGTGAAGAGGTAGAGAAAGACGTAGTACAGGGAGAGGTAAAGGTGGAGAGGCAATCTGTAAGTCCTGAACTCCCAAGAAGGTCGAGTAGAGTAACAAGACCACCTGACAGGTATAAGGCAACTACGGTCTATCAAGTAAATAAAGTCCCTACTACATTTAATGAGTTGACCACGTTTCTACCTGAAGACCTATTAGAAACACTAAAAATAAAATGAATATTTTCAATTTTACACTAAGTAATTAGGAATAATTTCTGTGGTTGCAATTCCTTAAATGTTCCTACTAGGAATTCTAATTCTGGGGGAGAGGGGTGAGTTGTTTTTTAAAATGATGCTTTAAATATGTAGAAATTATCCCCAGCCTCTTTATCTGTAAGCTTCTCAAACTGCTTTGCATTATAATTATTAAGGTACATATTATGGTGCTTCACTGTAAATTTAGTTTAAAAAAATCTCTATTACTATTATTAGATTCTTAACAAAAAACATACAATCACTTCAGTAAATAATGCCTACTGTCAAAATTCTGTAAAAATAGATCATGTTGGCAAAAACAGTCCTTTGTATTTCAACTAAACTTTCTCTGTTAAAATTGTTTGGTGTTTTGATTGTAGGGAGTCTATAGTTGTATTAAAAAGAACTGATGAAGACATTGTGACATGCATAAATTTGTCTTTATATCTTATGTTGAAAGACTTTTAAAAGAAACAAAAGAAAGACTTTTCTTTTCGCAACTATTTTCACCTCTGCATTGGATTTTAAGTCCATAGGACAAAATCTATTGCATATACATTCTGTCATAAATATAGAATAATAGTTATTAATATCCTTAGCAGGAAATTCATACTAGTGTATGTGTGCATGTGTGTGAGAAAGAAAGAAAGAAAGAAAGAAAGAAAGAAAGAAAGAAAGAAAGAAAGAAAGAAAGAAAGAAAGAAAGAAAGAAAGAAAGAAAGAAAATTTGCACAAAGAAAGTTTACCTCATTGTCACCCTCCATCCCACTACTGATACTCAATAGACTTCGGGTACTTGATCGGTTACTTGAACTGCCTGGTTAAAGGAGAAAATAAGCATTTTATAAATAGACTTCACTAATTTAAATTTCCACCCAGTTTTGCCAACTCTGGCTGAAAAGTAAGAAATTATTTTGGTTTATCATATATTTTTAATTAGTCAAATATTTTCCTAAAAAGTTTTAGTCATTCTTGAACTATTAACACCATTCTTGCTCGCCTTCCAACTGGCAGCAAATAAAAAACAACCGTAATTTATCTATAATCTCTATATAATCTATATAATTCTGTGCAATGTCACCAAAAAAGTCAGTTTATATTATTTATAAATATGTGCACATATTAATCATTTCCCATAATTTATTATGACAATGGGAATTATAGTGGCAGGAATTCAGAGTCTCACCATATATTTTTATGCTTATTTTCACAACTCTTAAAATTATAAATGATTTTTTTCTTCAAGAAAATGAGAGAATGATGGGAATTCCAAGCTGATATTTGTAGAGAATTGCAAAATATAGTCAAGCCAAATCTCTGCGTTTCAATAATTGAACAGAAAAACACAGTTTTGACAAATAAAATTATGATTGTCACACTGAAATATTAGTGTAACCCATATGCTATATTGACTAAAATTTTAATTGTTAGCAAAAACTAAGATATCATGATACTGATAATGTAAATTTAAAGTTCTAAACACACGGCTGTATACAATGAAAATGTTTAATACTGTGCCTTTAGGAAGTATAAGTGCAAAATATATAGTAGGATAGTACAAAAAGAGTGATTATGACTTAAAAGGATAAGAAATTGTCGTGGAGGTTAAATCAATGTACCGTAAAACCTTCTCTCTATAACAATCTACTATAACAAATGAGACTTACTAGCAGTTCACAATAAATTGTTTTTATTTACATAATAATAAAAACAATATCTATTCAAATACTAAATAGTATGTCATTCCTTTTCTTAAATACCCTGTCAGATATATATATGTGTGTGTGTGTGTGTGTGTGTGTGTGTGTGTGTTGTGTGTGTGTGTGTGTGTGTAGTTAATATTTCGGGTTTCTTCCCGTGTAATTGTGGATATATCCCTAAAAGGGTAGAAGCGACGTTTCGGCAGAATCCCATCTGCCATCATCAGGCTTATGCCAGTAGTCATTTTGCACTAACTGACGTTGGAATTTCAAATCTGGTGCTGGTATTCTGGGATGGCTCCACCTTTTCATTCTGATTGGTTGGGAGTCCCAGTATGTGTTTATTGGCTTGGCTTCGGGTGTATGGTCGGTTTTTCTCCACTAGGTGGCAGGGCTTTATCTTTGTGGCTGGTTTGAATATGATTTGGTTGGGATTTTTTTGTGCAATGTTTGGTCCATGTTCCACATATGGTGTCAAGATTCGTCTATCTATGAGAGCAGGTTTCCAAATAGTAGGCAGACGTGAAGTGTCATCCCGTTTATTCATGCAATATGGTCTTTTTTCCATTTCTATTGCTTCTCTGATTATCCTGCCATTGAGATGTTCTATTTTTGCAACTGTTTTTGTTTTATTAAAATTAATGTTCTGTCCTGTTGTATTTATATGTTGAACTAATGATGATGTGTGTTCTTGCTTTTGTATTGAGTTTTTGTGTTCCTCGATGCGCACACTCATTCTTCTGTTGGTCTGTCCAATGTATGTTGATGGGCAGGAAGCACATGGGATTTCATATATGCCTTGATCTTCTAATTCTATTTTGTCTTTGGGGTTTCTCAGAATGGACGATATCTTTCTATCTGTGCAAAATATGGTTTTGATGTTGTGTTTTTGTAGTACTTTGCTAATTTTATCTGTTGTTCCCCTTATATAGGGCAAGATGGCTTTCCCATTGTTTTGTTCCTCTTGTTGTTTTTTATTCTGTCTTGGTGTTGTATGTTTGATCATATTGATGACTTTATTTCTACAGAACCCATTTGATGTCAGTACATTAGTTAGTGTATATAATTCAGTTTGTAAATGTGCTTCATCAGCTAGACGTTTAGTTCTTGTGGTTAATGTTTTGGCAACAGAGTTTATTTGTGCTGGATGGTGGTGTGATTTGGCGTTGAGATAGCGGTTCGTATGTGTCTTCTTTTGATAGATGGTATGTCCTAAGGTGCCATCAGATTTTTTATAAATTAATACATCGAGGAAAGGTAACTGGTTTTCTGATTCTATCTCCATGGTGAACTTTATTTTGGGATGGAGGCTGTTCAAATGTACTAAGAAGTTTTCCAATTTATCTCTTCCATGTGGCCAGATCACAAAGGTGTCATCAACGTATCTGAGCCATAATTTTGGTTTGTTAACAGTTTTTTCTAAGGCATTGGATTCGAATTCTTCCATGAAAAGATTAGCGATGACTGGTGATAATGGTGATCCCATTGGTGCACCTTCTACTTGTTTATATCTCTGTCCTCTGTGTATGAAATATGTGTTGGATAAACAATGTTCTGTTAAGTTTGTGATATGTTTTGGTAGTTGATATTTGTTTTTAATTGATGACAAGGCTTCTTTGACAGGTATTTGTGTGAATAGTGATACAACATCAAAGCTTACAAGAAGGTCACTTTCTTTTATGTGTTGCTTTTTTATTATTTGTATGAAATGGTATGAGTTCTGTACATATGAAGCAGCAGATTCTGCGTAAGGTTGAAGATGTTTTGCTAAATATCTGGCTAGATTTTGTAAAGGTGAGCCTATGGAACTTACTATGGGTCTGAGAGGTATTCCATCTTTGTGTATTTTTGGGAGGCCATACAGTTTTGGGCATTTTGATGATTTTTCTCTGGGGATAATTTTTTGTTGGATTTCTTTACTTATAGTACTTGATTTTATCTTTATCTTCGTGGTTTTTTCTAGATATGTTGTTGGGTCTGTGTTTATGGGTTTATATGTGGCGTCTTGAAGTAAGTCAGACAAAAACCTCCAACCACAACACAACATCACTTAAAACAAGTAGTAACAATGCTTCGATAGGAAATTACAACAGCAGAAACAAATGTCTTAGCAAAGGGCTTAATTTTGCAGTGGCACCCAATAAAATTCCAATAGAAACCATCATATGCGAAGTTGAAACCAGCCTAAAGAAACTCAGTGCTGACGATGCTGATAAAGTCAGACATGACGTCACCAACATTCTATGTACTAGTAAACCACCTAAAAGCAACTTATCAAAAGAAGAACAAAAAGCACTGCAAGTTTAAAAATGATAATAGCATAATGATATTACCAGCAGATAAAGGCAATGCAACAGTAGTAATGAACACAGTGGACTATGAAAAGAAACTGTCTGACTTACTTCAAGACGCCACATATAAACCCATAAACACAGACCCAACAACATATCTAGAAAAAACCATGAAGATAAAGATAAAATCAAGTACTATAAGTAAAGAAATCCAACAAAAAATTATCCCCAGAGAAAAATCATCAAAATGCCCAAAACTGTATGGCCTCCCAAAAATACACAAAGATGGAATACCTCTCAGACCCATAGTAAGTTCCATAGGCTCACCTTTACAAAATCTAGCCAGATATTTAGCAAAACATCTTCAACCTTACGCAGAATCTGCTGCTTCATATGTACAGAACTCATACCATTTCATACAAATAATAAAAAAGCAACACATAAAAGAAAGTGACCTTCTTGTAAGCTTTGATGTTGTATCACTATTCACACAAATACCTGTCAAAGAAGCCTTGTCATCAATTAAAAACAAATATCAACTACCAAAACATATCACAAACTTAACAGAACATTGTTTATCCAACACATATTTCATACACAGAGGACAGAGATATAAACAAGTAGAAGGTGCACCAATGGGATCACCATTATCACCAGTCATCGCTAATCTTTTCATGGAAGAATTCGAATCCAATGCCTTAGAAAAAACTGTTAACAAACCAAAATTATGGCTCAGATACGTTGATGACACCTTTGTGATCTGGCCACATGGAAGAGATAAATTGGAAAACTTCTTAGTACATTTGAACAGCCTCCATCCCAAAATAAAGTTCACCATGGAGATAGAATCAGAAAACCAGTTACCTTTCCTCGATGTATTAATTTATAAAAAATCTGATGGCACCTTAGGACATACCATCTATCAAAAAAGAAGACACATACGAACCGCTATCTCAACGCCAAATCACACCACCATCCAGCACAAATAAACTCTGTTGCCAAAACATTAACCACAAGAACTAAACGTCTAGCTGATGAAGCACATTTACAAACTGAATTATATACACTAACTAATGTACTGACATCAAATGGGTTCTGTAGAAATAAAGTCATCAATATGATCAAACATACAACACCAAGACAGAATAAAAAACAACAAGAGGAACAAAACAATGGGAAAGCCATCTTGCCCTATATAAGGGGGACAACAGATAAAATTAGCAAAGTACTACAAAAACACAACATCAAAACCATATTTTGCACAGATAGAAAGGTATCGTCCATTCTGAGAAACCCCAAAGACAAAATAGAATTAGAAGATCAAGGCATATATGAAATCCCATGTGCTTCCTGCCCATCAACATACATTGGACAGACCAACAGAAGAATGAGTGTGCGCATCGAGGAACACAAAAACTCAATACAAAAGCAAGAACACACATCATCATTAGTTCAACATATAAATACAACAGGACACAACATTAATTTTAATAAAACAAAAACAGTTGCAAAAATAGAACATCTCAATGGCAGGATAATCAGAGAAGCAATAGAAATGGAAAAAAGACCATATTGCATGAATAAACGGGATGACACTTCACGTCTGCCTACTATTTGGAAACCTGCTCTCATAGATAGACGAATCTTGACACCATATGTGGAACATGGACCAAACATTGCACAAAAAAATCCCAACCAAATCATATTCAAACCAGCCACAAAGATAAAGCCCTGCCACCTAGTGGAGAAAAACCGACCATACACCCGAAGCCAAGCCAATAAACACATACTGGGACTCCCAACCAATCAGAATGAAAAGGGGAGCC